AATATACATTCAAAAGTTTCCCAAAATATTCCTATTAAGATGAATACCAATAAAATTACCAATAGTAATTGTTGAAATGGCATAAACATTATTCAATGATGTTTTATAATACAACTAGTCCTTGAGTTATGACCATTCATTCAGCAACCATTTGAAGTTATGTCAATGCTGAAGGAAGGGACTTACAACTAGTCCTCAAAATTCAGTAAGACTTTCTGATAAGTGGTTTTGGGTAATGAAGGAAAAAGTTTGGGAAGCACTATACTAGAATCTCATAAAACAATAAAACTGGCTAGACATTTCAAATTAATTTGATAGATTACAAAAAAATACATACAAAATTGGTATATTCATGCACAACCTATTATGGAGTTTTCTGAGGTTGAAGAGCAAAACCTTAGAGGTCTCTCAGCTTGCAATTCACGAGGTAACCAGTGATTAGCCACCTATGAATGATAGGTATGACTCAGTGCACGTGGCCACTGAATTCAGCAGAAAAGAGTCAGAGAGTCTTTGGGAAAGTACCAAGCACTAAATCATACGCTAAAATAGGCCGTACAGTGGAGGTCAGCACAGTTCTGTAAGAGACATCTACACCTCTTATTAAGCTCAGTCAGCTCTAGGACAGGAAGCTGTAAACTTCCTTGTTGGAAAACTGTTTTCTGTGGATATTTGTTTAATGAATCTGATATCTGTCCTCGGTTCCTCTTAACATTCTTGTCTCTTAACTCCTAGTTTATTGTTTTAGTTTGTGGTGTTTATTAGCCAAGCATAATTCTGTCTGAACTACGCAAGTATTTGACCGAATTACTAGCTTTAGTTTTGTCTTGGCTACTGGTAGATACACACAGAGAATCAGGTTTGTATATATTGGGGCAATGATAAGGTTTTTTTGGCATTTGGGCTCTTTATACCACACTGAATCTTAAATGAAACATTCAAGATGTGAGCAAAGATTTTCAGCTTTAATTCATGGGGTTTAACAAAAGTATGGCATTAACCATTGAGGAACTACAGCTATTTTAATATACCCAAGCCCATTTTTGGTGGCTCGTAAATGATGGGACAAACTAATAGTATTATAAATCTAAGGATTGTTTTTAATACTTGGATGAAAATCCAAATCTAGAACTCCTCCTTTGAGATGCTTTGCCTTGCTTTTACTGCAGCTACCTTTAGCTATTGCTTGTTTGTGGGTCTTTCTGTTTTCAGTCTTGTCTTCAATAAGTAACAGCATGTTCTATTTATTTGCGATCAGGTAACTGACTTGAATATCCAATTTCTGTGCCTTGAGGAACTCTTAGGTTGCTTTTGCTGTGTGTTTTTGGGTTATTATCCATCTGCAATATGAAGCGGCATCCTATCAAGTTTTTGCAGCATTTGGCTGAATCTGACCAGAGAGTATAGTTCTATTCACTTCAGAATTCATCCTCTACTTTTATCAGCAGTTAGGTCATCAATAAATGCCAGTGACCCACTGGCAGCCATACATGCACATGCATAACATGTTTGATAGATGATTGGTATGCTCAGATCATGAACTGTTCCTTTCCTTCTCCATATTTTTTTCATCAGTCTGGTACAAGTTAATCTTGGTTTCATCAATCAAAGAATCTATTGCAGAACTGGAAAGGCTTTTTAAGGTGTTTTCAGGCAAAGTATAATCTTGCCTGTCTGTTCTTGAGTGTGGCTAGAGTTTGCATCTTGTTGTGAAACTTCTGTATTTACATTCATGAGGCCATTTCTTGACTGTAAACTTTAACAATGACACATCTACTTCAAGAGTGTTCTTGACTTGGCTTAGATGTTGTGAAAGGGTTTTTCTTACCCAATGACAGAATTCTGCAATCATCCACTTTGTCTTCCATGACTTTCCAGGCCTTTTGGTATTGTTGAGCCTGCTTGTTAATTCCTTCTTTTTAAGAAAGTTTCAAAATATTGTTTTGGCCATTCCCAGGGGTTTTTCTCTTTTTCTCATAGATTTTGCTTTTTCAGCCTAATTATGGCCTCGTTTACTTGCATAGACACCTATTTGGACCTCATGTTGAGTGTTCCAGTGAACAGCTACCAAATGCAAATGTAACACTCAGAACCAACTTCATATCTTTATCTGCTTGATTTGTCACAGGGTAACAAAGGAGCAGGCCACACCTGGCTATAAAAATGCTTCTCAGCCATTTATCCATCACCAAAAATGGAGCAGGTGTATTAAAATGGCTGTAACCCCTCAATGGTTATTGTCCCAGTATATACAAACCTGATTCTTTTTATTTTTCATACTGTGTGTGTGTGTGCACTTGTTGCTACAATTTTCCTGGACTTCCCACAATTGAAATTTTCAATTTCTAATAAGTTATGGGGAGATAGTAAACCATTTTTCTAGCTTCTCTAGTCAAAGTTTTCTCTAGTGTTCGTTGTGGTCCGTTGGCTGCCAGCAAAGCTAGCAGCCGAGTCAGATGAGGAAGAGGAGGGGGAGGGAGAGCCTTAACTTCGAAGCTTTTGGAAGGCTCCGGTGAGCAAGAAAACTCAGAACCAGATGCAGAGTCAGGGCCATCTGCCCATGCTCAGGCAGAGAGGCAGCTGTTTTCGGGGCCTGAGCTGAGTGAGGAGGAGGAGGAACAGAGGGGGCCCATCCCAGATGCACGTATGCGTAGAGAGGAGAGCTATGGAAGGCAATGGGCCAGCTCTCAGGGAAAAGGAGGAGACATTAGCCAGTCGCTCCCTGGCTAGAACATAAATAGACATTGACATTGTCTCAGCCAGTGTGAGCAGGGACTGCTACTGCTTGGTTAAGCATTTAAAGACTGGTTATCTGGCGTTCTCATGTGAACAAAGTTTGTTCCTGCCTTGTTTAATAAAAGGGGTTTTACTCATGAGTAAGAAGTTGATCATTACTCATGAAGGTCTGGGTCAGAACAGTGTTTTATTCTATTTTTAAAATAATAAAAGTGTTTTTACCCCAACTCTCTAATAGAGGAGCCATGGTATCTGAATCAGAATATGACCAAGAGTCACATCACACTGCCCAAGATGAGGAACATATTCAGTGGCAAGAAAAGGAGCGTTTATGAGCCCTGCCCAATTGGCAAACTGTATTTACCTTAGTTAAAATAAATACTTCAGAAATTTTCACTATTAAGTATGGAAAGTCTGATTAAAAAATAAACAGATACAACTCATAGAAATAAACATATTTTCTTCATGAGGAAGGAAAGCATTGGCTTGTGGAAAGAGTATATACTTCTCAAACTGAAGCCCAATCACAGCATTATGCATTACATTATTTCTCAGTAGGAATAAAACGCATCTACCAGTATACCTGAATTTCTAGAGCATAGATCTAAACTTGTATCCAGACTAATGTCAAAGTATTCTAGATGGAAGCTGCCAGATGGAAATGGGATTGGGTAGAAGATGTGCAATGAAATTTGGTTTTCCCACTGTTTCTTTATTTCAAGCCCTGCCTATTACTCAGCTCTCAAAACACTGTGTATGACAAAAAAATGCCTACTATTTCACAAAAGAAAAGCCAATCATATTGGATAACCTGTCCCACTCTAGGTCTTTTCAAATATTTCTAACTGTGACCAATTTATATAGTCTATTCACATATAGTAATATGCCAGGCAAACATTGACAAAAATCCAATTCACTGTAAAGGTACCTTGGTATACCTCTAGTGTGGGTGGAGGGGGCAATGTTATATTTAGTTTCTGCAAGTTTCTATAATTCAATTTGAATCATTTTTAACAACACTCATATTTTAAATATAACTTATAATTGTTTACCAATAGGCTGAAATAAAATACACCAAACTGCTGATTCTATACACTTGCAATACTGTGTACAAAATGCTGCAATGCTCTAGAAACAAACTTTTATATATCCATAAGCATAAAAAGTATGTCAAATACTTTTTGAACCCAGGAATTAATATGTGAGATCTTCTGCTAATGCTATAGAAAAAGTGTAAATATTTTGGATTTTTAAGTCAAAAAACCACAAGTGGAGACCAGTGCAGTATATAGCCTAGAATAATCACTTTATGTTTATGGCATAATAAATCTATGCCACAATTATTCTTGACAAATCTTCTATTTATCCAGCTTACTTCTAACAAATGCTTAGGGCTTAAATGAATATGCATACATAATCCCTAACTCACACTTCAAAGTAAAGAACTATTATAAATATACCAGGAATAAAACAACACAAATTTTCTCTTCTTATAATACCTTTACTACATGTTTTATTAAATTAGGAATGTTCTTTCTCTAATTTACATTGCAAAGCCTAATTAGACGTAAGTAAACATTTCAGATTTTATTTAAACCAAGTTATATCAAATTCAAGTAGAACTTTATGAAAATTGTAGGCTACAACTTTTAAGCAAAGATCTCATGAGGAATGTGAAATTGTCCATATTGTGTGCCCAAACAATTTTCAGCCATTTCAAATGTGAGACATTTGCATATTAATGCAAATTAATGCATATTAATCAGCCTAAACCCATTGTTAAGAGAACTTTCACTACTAGGAAAAGTTGAGGGTCTGCAGTACAAATAATGATATATCCCATAGCTATATCTATACATTTGCTGAGCCATCAATTACAAGCTTACAATAGGATATATTAATCCAATGTTACAAACATAAAATAGCATATTTTAGGTGCAAATTTTAACATCTACCTATTCTTGCATTATACATTTATAAAGCTACAAGTGGCAGAAAAGTTGTTTAACAACAAGAATTTGTAACAAAGTCCCAGAAAATTCAAGCAAAGATAAAAGCTATAAGAAAACAAGAAATGCAACCTTAAATGAGTTAGTTGGCATTTCTTCCAGTACAATGCAGCAGCTTGCTAAACTCACCTCCGTTACAAATGGCCCGGTGTATACATTTGTGTTTAACCATAGTAATGTGAATACTGAGAGAATGTGTATCATTTCATCATATGCTTTTGTTCATTTGGAGAAAAAGAAAGATAAGTGACTCACCAGATTGAACACAGTTTCTACAATATCCCTGTTGGATACTTCCCCAACTTCCACCAATCCTGTCAGAACAGCAAATTTCATCCTGATACCCCGGATAGGGATGCCTGGATTCAAAGACTGCTTTTCAGCTGAACTTCCATCTTTTCCTTGTCCAGTACCACCTTCTCCTCCGCCTTTATCATCCCCTGTTGATGGAGAAGACGACCTCTGTCTTTCTTCACTAGCCATAGTAAGTTCACTTCCGGGAATACAGAATATACTCTCTAGCCTGGATTTTCAGGTCCAGTTTTTAAAGCACCCTGAAGGCAGCACAGCAACTTGAGTAGAGACTCCTCCTTTTCTTCACTCAGTGTCAGGGCCTGGGCAATGGTCTGTTTAAAGAGGGACATTCCAGAAAGACAACAATTAAGTAGGGACACTTGTTAAAAAATATCTGCAAGCCTGCCATCCACCTAACTATAAAACTCTGCTCTGTTGTTGAAGCACACGCCTCTCTCCCTCAATAAAACCAGAGCAGGAGCAACCACATCATACAGGTAAGCTCCTCCTCGCCGCAAATATTCAACTTGCTCGCACCGGAGAGAAAAAAAAGATGGTTTCCCCAAAGACTGTTCTTAAAAAAAAAAAAAAAAAAAAGATAGTATAGATTTGAAGACGAACCAACCTCCCCCGGACTATTCCCCAGCCTCGCCTGCTGTTGTCCTTGTCTTTCAGCAGCCCCGGTAGGAGCAAGCGCTGTTCCTGCTTCTTGCCCCTCGCGCGCGCAGTCACAGGTGCAAGGACGAAGTCGGGCCAGCCGAGGAAGTTCGCACTCACCCCACCGAGCTCTCCGCTCCCGAGGCGATCGGGGCCAAAGGGCAGCGAGACGTGCCTTCTAATGCCCGGCGGCTGATCCAGGCATGGAGATGTTTTCTTCGTTTCTCCGCCACCAGACTGGCGCTGCCGACCTGAGCTGGAGGGAAACCAAGTGGGAGGTTCCGCCTTGGGGAAGACACCTGAAAGTTTTTCCGTGCAGCTATTTCACTCTGCAGTCGCCACACTTAGCTCGTCCATCGCTTCCTGCTCGCTCCGCTTGCTGCCGCCATGATAGCGCTAAGCCGAGCCCGAGGAGAGTTGCCGGGCGAGTCACAATGCGCCTGCGCGCTCAGGAACAGGCAGGGCGGGCAACGAGCGGGACGCAGCGGGCTTGGAAAATGAGGCTTCCGCGCAGCCTCAGGTGAATAAGGTGTGTCCAGGTGAGAGAAGCAGCGTACAAAGTGGAAAGAAGAAGAGGAGGAGAAGGAAGCTGGCCTCTGTTTTCCCTGCGGGAATGGAGGAAGCTTCCAGTGAAAACCGCCGTTAAGAAGGAAGATGTAAAATCCGTTTTTAGTATTGGATTATTAGACGCTGAAGCAAGTCCTGTTTCTCCAGGCTCCGTTGTTAGACAGTTTGGGGAAGGAAGCTGATGATTGATAGAGTCGGATGGCATATTAGATGTTATGGTTCATTTGGAAGTGCAGTCTTGTAAATAAGGAATTGGGTTTTAATCATACTCAGCAGGACATTTATTTTTACTTGGAAAAAAAAATCAGGACATTCTCTGCTCCTGTGATAATTATAAGAACATGAAATTTCTTTTGGCTTGACTGCGGTTTACAAATAATTTTTAAAGTGGATTTTTTCTGCATTTGTATCATACTAAATAGGGTGGTTAAGACATCAGGCTAGAAATCTGAAGACCATGAATTCTAATCCTGTTCTGGACACAAAGCCAACTGGATGACCATGGGCCAGTTATTTTCTCTCAGCCCTATACTGTAAATAACTTAGCTCTCAGAGTAGCTATGCTTCATGTTCATTTGGAGAAACTGCATGGTTTTGCAAAACCACCTACTTTTCATCTCATCTTGAATTTCCTGTTTTCTTATGTTTCAAGTGTGCAAATGCACAACAAAATGTAAATGATATATTGCAAGAACAGGTGTTTGCAATGGGGTAAATGATGGCATGTTGACAAAAATGATGTGATTTACATATCAGTTGTGATACAAGTACTAAACGTATCCTTCACATGACATTGTGGCCTTTGCATAAGTCCATAATGAAAAATGCTTTAATAGTACCTCAAAGTTTTTGTTACTGTTATGCTCCCATTTTATTACTGCTCTTTTAAGAATGTTGGTAATCATCTTTAAAACCCTTCATGGGATGGATCCAGGCTACTTGAGGAACCATCTCATCCCACCCATCCCGGGCTGCTGCGGGCCCCATTGGCCAGATTATTCCAACTGGCAGGATCGAGAAGGGCCTTCTCTGCCATGGTACCTGCCCTCTGGAACATCTTGCCGCCCCCCCATGTAAATTTGGCCTCAACCTTCCTGAACTTTTGTAAGGGTCTAAAGACCTGGCTCTTCCAGTAAGCTTGGGCCCTCTATGTGGGAGCATCACAGTGGTTGATTAACAACAATTCCCACTTCCCTCCACCCTGCCCCCCCATCCGTAATGGTATCAAAGTGTTTGTGGATATTTTATTGTGCCTGCCTGCCTGCTTGCCTGCCTATCTGTCTATCTATCTATCTCTATCTCTCTATCTCTCTATCTATCTATCTATCTATCTATCTATCTATCTATCTATCTATCTATCTATCTATCTATCACAGACATGTCAAACACAAGACCCGGGGGCCGGATGCAGCCCTTGAAGTGGTTTCATGCGGCCTGCGAAGCCATCCTGGAAACAGTGAGGGAACGGCCCCTTCTGCCTTGGCCCTGATCCCACCCCCTTCTGCCAGAGACCTTCAGATCTATCCCATTCCTGCCCAGGCCCCACAGGCACCCTTGACACGAACAATGTAGAACTGGCCACGCCCACCCAGTAGGCCACACCCACTCCATCCACACTCACCCAGTAGGCCACACCCACCCGGCCCCCTGAGGGCAACTGCAATGCTGATGCGGCCCTCAATGAAATTGAGTTTGACACCCCTGATCTATCATAATTGTAAACCCCCCAGAGGTACCTTGATGATAAGATGGGGGCCAATAAACTTTTAAATAAATAATAAAATTGCATTTTATATCTTGATTTTTGCATTAATGCAGCATTTGAACCTTTTTATTAAAAATGAAGTCTAAGCAAGTTAATTTACCAAGATTAGAGTAGGTAGGCAATTAAATTTGAAATAGTTTGGACCATTTGCAAGCATAACACCTCTTTGCTATTAATTAAAGCAGTGGTTCTCAACCTGTGGGTTGGGACCCCATTTGGGGTTGAACGACCATTTCACGGGGGTCGCCAAACAAGGCTGTCCGCCATTTTTTCCCCCTTTTCTTTGGTCACGCCCCTGGCATCCGGTGATGTATAAGTGGTTGGGGGTCACCACAACATGGAGAACTATATTATGGGGTCACGGCATTAGAAAGGTTGAGAACCACTGAATTAAAGCAAGCTTCCACCCAAAGCTGAAAAAGATGCTTCTGTCTTAACTTTTAAAGCAACAGTTTCCTTTTTTTGGATTTATAACCTTCAGCAGAATCTGAAGAGGAGGGTTTAAAATCAGCAAGATGGCAGATGGAACATCACAGTGCCAGTACCATTCATTTTGATGTGATGTTGGCAAGTGTTTGAAAGGCACACAGCTTATGATGCAGGGCCCCATCTGCCATCTTCCTGATTTTGTTCCTCTGCAGATACAACTGAGCTGATTTAAGGAATAGCAAAGAGATACTATGGTTGATTTGAAGAAAAGATCTAATGAAGATTGTCAGGGAATTGTGCAGCAGGTGTCTAAATGAAGTCAAAGATGCTGAAACAAACTTGTATTTTATATAAATAAATATATTTTAGATCTATATTTACAGCAAATAAGATAATCAGGCAATCAGGAACATCATGATGTAAATCACAGACCACACAGAAGAAATAGGCAGGAAAAAAGGGAAACTTCCCCTCCACATCCATAGCAACCAATCACACCGTAGACTGCTTCACATAGGAGCCAGCACTCTCCAACCAATCAACTACAACTGTATATTCTGGCCATTGTACAACCCTACTGTTCTATCCATTAAATTTAAATATCTTAACAAAGATTCTTTTTTAAAAAAATTAGGACTGATTACTTTAAATCTCTGTCAAATGTAGGAGTGTACCTTTTAAAATTTTATTATAGATTTTTTAAAAAAAATAATGCAAACTAATATTTATTAAATTTATATGGCGCCAATTTGTATATCGATACATTTCTATAGTAACTATAAAGGAAGAAAAATAAAAATAAATAAAATAGGAAGTTAAAAGTGCAAGAAAGGGTGAAAAGGAAAAGGAAAAAGATACAAAAAGTAGATACCCATGTTTTTTAATTAATTAATTTCATTGTGAGTTACACAATGACAATAAAGATATTCTATTTTTATAGCAGTTATAAATACAATTATGAATTTACTCTATGGTTACAATATAACTCTTCTTTCTATAATCTATCCTTTTGAATCATAAACCCATAAATCATAACTTCATTTTTTTTCCTATTTCACACAAAACATTTGTAAAAGGTTTCCAATCAGCAATAAATAGTTACTGTCTTTTCTCTGATCAAAGAAGTCAATTTAGCAATTTTGGCAAGTTCCATCATCTTCTATCTAGCAAATATGTTATTGGTACCAAATTATATATGTCAGCCTCAGTCCAGTCAAATAAGTCTATTGAATTCCTGTGTGGGCCAGAACCAACTTTTGCTCAATGCTACCAAGATTGAGTGACCATGGCTATTGGGATGCGTATGTCCAGTGAATTTCTATCTTTATTGCTAGATAGGATTGCAGTTTCCCAGTCATATGTCACATGATCCTTGAGGACTTCTTGTGAACTTACAACTTCTGCTCAAAGAGCGTTAAATTTGTTTTCTTTTCTCTGACTTTGTAAGAGTACATTTGCTTTTGTGCATTATCAATGTATTTTTCAGTGCTGCTTTAATATAAGAAAATAGATTTAGATTTTAATACAATATATTAAGCAAAACTTGGCACTGTGCATGTTAATAAAAGTATCCTATATTTAGTATCTTAGCCAAACAACACTAGATAACTAATTACAAAGTTGTGATGATTGCTCATGCTGGATTGTTTGTTACAGCTAAATTCATTTCTCTGATAGACAGATTAACCAGTTCATCTGCTGTCTTCTTATAGAAACTCTGCTAAAGAAATCTGAACACTATAAATAGTACTTAAAAATATAAGCCTATCTTTGTAGAACTGCAACACTATTTGTCACGAGAATAGGAAACAAGGAAGTTGGAAATTCAGTAGTATGTGTGGGAAAACCCCTTCAATACATGGGGAAACATTTTCATTGCAAAATAATATATTGCAAATATAATTGTTTTGACAATGTGCCATAATTTTATTTGGATTGATAAAGCCTACTAAGAATGTTCCAATGCACAAGGCTGTTTTAAAATCTGTATGAGGATATTGTGGTTTCATTTATCCCGTCTTCCCTGTCCAGTTGTTATATGCTGATTTACTTTGTGGCTTTTGACATGTCCACAATATTGACATGTCCACATTAGGATAATATTGATATATGAAAGTTGTTCTTTCTTAAGAATGTATCTTTACGTGATTTACCTAATAAATATGACAATAATCACTTTCCTATGAATCAATGGATATTCGATTAAGTTTTCTTTCTGCCTTTACAAGCGGAATTAACCCAATTTCTCACACTGCAAAATTTCAACACTGGATTTTTCCTCTTTTGTTGAGGGACCGGTATCATGTTGCCTCTTTGGGATTGGTACTGAAAGATAACCTCTCTATTCCAACTGTCTTGTTCCTTGCAAGTAAAATATTGTGTGCTGACTATATAATTCTATGCAAAGCTTAAGCAGTAGATTCTGTCTTCTGAAAAATCACTGTATTGTGAAAAAAATACTATAGCACAAGTGGACAAAAATTGGCAAACTTTCAACATTTATTTTCTTCAAGGGATACATAAGTCAATTGTGTGAGAGATAAAATGTGGGTTTTAAGTTTACTTTGATAAATAATATTATTGTTCCAACTGGATACAACAAGGCTATGTTTTAGTGACAAAGAAGTACAGCTTAAAACAGCAATTATTTATCATTTTTAAAATAAAGTTATTTAAAAAGCTGATTATAAAAGCTCACAGTTCACAGAAGTAGACATTTTTGAATGTGCTATACAGATGGTAACCAATTACAAAATGGTAGTAGATAACGATTCAGCCAATATTTATTGAGTTTATTATTTTCAGCTTTACAAATATAGCCAATTGTGATTTATGATTGAACTATGGCTTAGTGCATTGTGTAAATCATTAAATATTATAGTGGTAATATTCCTCTTACACACCCTATGCGCCCTTCCTGACATTGCACCCCCATACTTCATCCCCAACCCATGCTGCACCTGTTCTGCACTCCCAACCTACACCACATCCTCGCATCCCCTTCCTGATCTGTGCAGTACCTTTCACGTACCCATCCTGACTCAAAAGCCGCGCTTCCCAAACTCAGACACCACCCATCACAAACAAGGGAAGGGTGATGGGAGGAAGAAAGGTTTGCTATTCCTTGCCAGCTTTTCACAAGGCAACGCAATTAAATGGAGAAGCTGGCAGAGGGTAATAAGTTGCTCCTGCTCATTCTGCTTTTTGCCCGCCCATGGTCATTCTGTTTCTCTACAGTGGTACCTCGGTTCTCCTTGTTAATTGGTTCCAGGAAGCAATACACAGCGGCATTTTCATACAACATCGGTTCTTTACACAATGGATACTTTGTTCATATAACTACTAAGATCCAAAAATACCTGGCATTTATCTAGCATACAAAATGTATGTATGTATGTTTTGCTTCATTCCCATCAGCATGTAAATAATATGTGCCATGTTATTTACAATCAAAGTGCGATTGTTCATTTCAATTGGGAATAAACAAGGGAAAAAAGGAAAAATATTTTGGGCAGAATAAAACTGAAAGAATGTTTCTGGAAGATAAGTAAAATATATTCATTAGGGTTGGCAAAACAGAGCTTTATCAATAGCCTCCCAGTCATAATGGCTCTGGAACAGATATTAATGAATCCTCTCGAGGTTTGTAGTGATAGGCCAAGAAATCAAAACAAAAGAGTATCAGATTCACACTAAAATTTAGATAACTAAGGAATTATTAGTGTGCAAAATCAAATAACTATGGTTCCATATTCATGGCTGATTCGCATTTCACCAATGGTCAAGGACATAAATTATCTGGCATCAGAATGCTATTATGCCTTCCTTTCATTAATATGGATAGCAGTTGTTAATCTGGCAGGACAAATAATTCTTTGGTGTGATATGCAAGATGCTTAATAATTACCTGCATTTATAAATATTTCAAAGCAAAATCTCCACATAAAACAGACAAGTCAAGCTCACAACATCACGTGACATCGCACAACGTATCGGAGCTTTTTTGCCATTGCCGGCAATGGGGTGGGCGTGGTTTT